ACATGCAGACAATAATGTAATGGAATGTTTACTTTATATCTCGAGCAAACTACATAGAAATTTCATTAAGATGCTTAACATGTTATAATTATCAATAAGTTCAAAAGTCATTTCATAGTGAGTATACTATTTAGAATATTGTTATCTACACAAATATACTAGAATAGAAATATTCTTTATTGAAATAAACTTAAATCTAAACATTTTTGGATAATCTCATTTAGTCTACTATTATTACTTATTAGGAAAGCAGATCCAACCCAAAAAGAATGAGCAAGATAATTACTAGTTACTCTTTTAAACAAATTTTGTAGAATTTTATATTTTTAAGTCAAAATATAGTACAAAACATTAGCACCAGGTCAATAGAGTCAAAATTCTAAACTACTGCGTCGATTTGAGAAGTTCTTTCTCCGTTTAAAAGGTACATACTAAGGTAACATTCAGAATAACATATATTATCTTAATATATACAAGCCTGACAAAGTTATGATCAACCAGGAGAAACCGTGGAGTGCCGCTAGAAAAAAATAAATACTAAAAGGCAGACAATGAATTATAATTTGTATAGAATAATAATAATATTTTTAAACTTAAAAATGTAAAGTAATAATAAAATTATTTAAAAGAGCAACACGCAAGTTTCTTGCTCGTTCTTCTTGTGATGAGACAGCTTTCCGAACGAGCGGTAGATTAAAAAAAATGTAATGACTATTCAAAAGTGCTTCAATGTAAGTTTATTTGAATAAATGATTTTCTATTCTATTCTATTCTATTCTATTCTATTCTATTTATGGTACCTAGAACAAACTTGACTTGCGGAAAACTACTGTAGAGGATCTTTTCTACAGAGGTTTTAGCGCTTACAAACAAACTGGCTCTTCAGCTTTATATAGTTGTATAGATTAAATTTTACTAACAGAAATACTTTTCCTATGATATTATTCTATGATTATAATATAGATATAGATAAAATCACTAATGTGAATCGTGTACATATAGACAGGGCCGAATTTCGGGGTTCCTAGACAATAAATTCTATTTAAAAATAGTGTTGACATGTGGTAGCTCTATGTGGTAGCTTTATTATTTATAGGTATATTTGCATCAAAAAAGAACTAACATTACAGTGTACAAAATTTTTATTTAAATTTTCATTCTATAAATTTTTTCGATTAAGGGCCGCAGACTATTCAAACAAAAATATTAAAGATTATTATATTCTAGCTTTTGACCGCGGCTTAGCTCGCGTTATTTTATCCCCTTAGAGGTGGAATTTATCAAAATTCTTTCTTAGAGAATACCTACGTCATAGCAGCTTTATGCATGCAAAGTCTCAGCCCGATCGGTTTTAAATTGACAAAGTTTCATATAAATTTTCATCCCCTATTTTATACTCTTCAGGGTAGAATTAATCAAAATCCTTTCTTAGCGGATGCCTACGTCATAACATCTACCTGCATGGCAAATTTCAGCCCGATCCATTCAGTGGTTTGGTCTGTGCTTTGATAGATCACTATATAATTATATATATCATAGATTATTTATATTTTACATCTTATAAAATATTACGCATGCAGATGCGATATTTATATTTTTGTTTAAAAAATAACAGCACTATACCAACGAGGATGCACATTTTCTAATAAACCTTCAATTATAGAAATAACATTAATATTTTTTTAATCAAGTGCAGGGGCTCGAAGCCGTTGCCTACTATGTCTTATTGTTAATCCGGCCCTGCTGACAGGTATTATGTGCTCATTATGACTTCAAACTTTTAACTAATCATTGGTGTGTGTAGAACTTGTGGAAGCCGTGTGATCTTGTTATCAACGACATGTTATTGAACTATTCATTGTATTATTCGATAGGCACTTTTTCCGTCTTATACACGCTACGAACAATACTAAAATAAAGCAGATATGAACGAACAACAGATACGAACTGACGGTAGATTGATATATCGTAAGAGTCTGCAATAGACCTACATGAATAAAGATAATTTGAATTTGAATTGTAAGGATACCGTGTTTGTATTAAATATATTAACGTTATTATTAAGTTAGTTTGAACTTTGAAGGGTCTTAAACATGAACATGAATAATATAATTACAATCAATAAATTATTTTGTCATACCAACATAAAATATGATGTTAAATTACAATTTAATCCAGTATTATCAAGTAAACAGGTATAAAAAATAATAAATAAGATTTAGAATCAAAGATATCATGACAATAATATTAGTAGTTATAATATATTAACTAATTACTTCTTCATAGTTACATATATAGGTAATATATTAACACAGCCATATTAGAAATTTATGATGTTGTTTTTACTAATATAAAAATACAACTGAAATAAAGCGAGTAGGTATTACCAATAGGATATCGTGAATACCCTTCCACGCAGTATTTTACATTGTTTTATTCTAAATACGTAGATAATGTTTAATAAGTTATATCTGCATGATAAAAAGTAAACTAAGTACTTACTTATTTTAAAACACCGGAATGGAAAAATAATTAAAATGTAGTTGCGATATTTATAAATAAAGATCTAAAAGGAATAATTACTGAAATTATAATAGGCAGGTAGGTACAGGTGGATATCCATGTAGATATTAACCAATTTCTTTTAGAATCTCTAACTTTATAACCTAAAAGATAAAACTTTGTTTAGTTACTTCATTTTAAAGCTTCTGGATGTGCAGGGGGCACGTAGGTCATTTTTAACTTGACTGCCATACCTCAACTGCTAATCGAAAGACATCTTATAAAGCAAGGTACTTGGCAGTTAAATAGGCGAGACAGACATACCTACACAGACGACTTTGATCAAAGTAAAATTGTAAACATCTCAATTTCTAGACAGTTATATAAAATGTTTGTGTATAAAATGCACAGATAATACGCAATTACTACAGTTTACTGTTTGCACGATGTAGTACTTTGTTCTCAGTACGTATCTATGTCTGTGGCCCCACCCACCCCACGCGCCAATCACTTCGTACCCGAATGACGACATGGTATCATCACTTATCGTCATTACTATCATCTGTCCGTACATAATCAGCGTTATATTTATGCGTCCGCGGAAATGGGTCGTGAAAAAAACAACGATAAACGTTTAATCAAATAAGTTTAACATAGCATTGCCTTCCGACTTCAAACATCTTCATTCTTATAGTAATAATATTACAATTTATAAATAATATGTTCTATAATATATATTTTTTGCAGATAATAAAATTCATATCTATTTACAAATGCTAATTAAAATATCTTTATTCATGTAGGTCACAGACTCTTATGATATGTCAAATTTACCGTCAGTGCGGAGTGATTTCGAGATGAGAATAACTGACAAAAAACTCAGGTTATTACAAACATATCTTCATGCTTTTGTAATCTTAAAAAGGTAACAAAAGCTATTTGATAACTCTGCAAGCCTAAACAGTTTGAACAGATCTTAATAAAATTTTATCTGAAGAAAGAATCTATCATGGGAGCAGACATAGGTTAAGTTTAATCTAGAAAAAATACAGAAAAAAATTGCGGTTAAGAACTACTAAAAACATGTTGTATATAAATAACATTTGCATACATAACTTACAAACTTAAGTTATAAATTTTCCATTAATTACTTACCTACGTATACCTATATATGAGCTTATTTATGTATATATGTATTTTATTACAATTCTATGCTGTTCTAAAATATACTTGCTCTACTACTGTCTATTATTTATTTTATTCTGGAAAATAAAATGTGAATATAATACTTTTAACAGTATGATTTTCTGTTTACTATACATATATTGATATTACATTTGGGGTCAAATTAGATTGTTACAACAGCTCTCACGTCACGTAGCTACGTTATTTATATATCTCTACAATCATTAATAACATGTTTATATTTTTTTCATAACACAAGTTATAGTACAAACAATTTTAGTATCCATATGAAATTATTTAATACTATCTGACCTGCGCAACTTTGTCTGGTTCAGACTTACTTGACACTTATCATTATATTTTGCCCAATGTACATAATATATTAATGAATTATAGCCTATGTGTTATTCTTATGTATAAGCTATATTACTGTAAAATTTCATCAAAATCCGATTAGTAAGTTTTGCGTGAAAGAGTAACAAACATCCATCCATAACAACAAATATTTACATTTATAATATTAGTAAGATTTTATAATGTATTTACATATATATAACGTATTTAAATATATATAATAACATTTACATATGATAATTTGTAATCATATGTTTCAATACTAGGTGCAATTAATAATGCTTACAATATTTAATAATGTACGTACATGTCTATATTGGTATACCTACATATATGTTAATATGTAATCATACATTTTAAATCCTCACAATTTATAATACAAGATTGTATGCAAGAGATAACTTATAGTGATAAGACCGCTTTTTAGATTATTCGCTTTTCAACATTTTTTTTAATTTGTATTTTATATAATGTGTAATTTTGGATACCAAATGGTGATTAGAGTTAAATTCAATTTATTATAATATGTATATATATAATACATCCATACCCATGTATCCTTAAATGCAAATAAAATTATTGAATTGAATTCCCTGTACGTAATAAATCTCATGTTACTAATACTAACACGAAGGTTTGGAGTATGGACGAATTTTGATGAAATTTTACTGTAATATACACAAACAGGCTTAAAATTTCATACGGGTGAAACCGTGGGTACAGCTAGTAATTATAATAATTATTGAAAGTTAACTGGGCTCCCAGCCATTTAAACATTACCATACATACATAGAGAAAGATGGTTAAAAATCACAAATAGTAATATTAAATTCAATGTGAATACAATATAAACACAATAGAGATTGTGATGCAACTGCACAATATCAAATAAAACATATCCGTTGTCAGTAGAACTGATAAATCGATAGCTACATATATAGCACTGTCCGCCGGTCTGCTGGCTCAGACATTAGTGCTCATAGCTACTGTGAAAGTCGATACATACTGTCATACAACTCATACACAATGTCTAGGAGAGACGCCTCTGTTCATCTACTTAGGAAGATTGTGTTGGATTTGCTTTTATTGTCTGGATGTAAGTTTTTTCTTTATTAATTTTCTACTCTTTATTAAATAAAAAATATATTTTGTTTATTCAATAAGTGTTAAGATATTTTTATGTTTATTTCCTAATATTGGGTATGTAAACCGTAAACCGATGTAGATGATTAATTTTATATCGAAATTTAATGACGAATAACTTTGTCATATTTCGCTAAACTTAAAGTAGATTTATATGCCGATTTGTTTACTATAAAAACCATAAAATTGGGAAATTTATAGATAATGTTATAGCCTATATATTAAACACCGTATCCATAGTTTTTCATGTTAGTAATCCGTTTCATCCCTTCTATTTTGATATAAATTAATTTTCATTAAAAAGACGTTGACGAAGTTTAATATTAGGAATAATAAAAAGATTTTGTTATATCCTTCTAACTGTAGGTATTTCTGTAACTGCTGTAATATCTTGAAATTTATGTTTTTTCTATTTGGTAGTTTATATTTGCGTAAATTTAGAAGCACGTAGTTTCAGAATATGTTTGTAAACAATTTTCTTACCTCTTTTTCTTCTTTCTTCTTCTGGACTCTGAATGTAGCGATTGAGTAAAAAAATGCTGCTTAAAATGCTTATAAATATAATATTTATAATTATATATATCCTAATATTTCACCAAATTTTTAATACAAAATCACATATAATTCGTATAAAAAGTATAATTAAGTTAAATTCATATATAGCTGTTTGGTGATATGTGAACAAATCAAAGGATGCGTTCTCGATGTCATCAAAGTTTAATTATATTGAATCTGAGCTGTGTATGTATATTTATATTTTATTTATTTACAAATATAATGTGTTAAAAAAAATATGTTTAACAAGAACGAAAGTAAGTCATTTAATTGTCCTGTTAATGCCAATTATCTAAATTTTTATTTCAAAAAGGACCATCCCTTTGAATCTCACAAATGTTTATAACAAAGGCGTAAATTAGTGAAACGTGGCATGGCCTCAATATTAGTAGTATGTAAATTAAAGAAAACAAGCTTCATTTTGTAACAAGTTACAGCTTTTCAAATAAAATAGAATAAATTACTTCATCTGTACAACCGTTTACTATTGATGAAAAGATGATTGTGAAATAACCGATACAGTTTAGCTAACTAGTGTATACATTATGTTGTAACTCTATTTACTCTAAGTCCCTTGTGAGGTAGGCAGACACAATTATATTCCAAAGAACCAAAACCAAGCAAAAAGCAAGAAACAAACATTATTCCAAACTAATCCACATGATATTACAATTAGATAAGCATCAATAATTTGTTTAGTAAAACTGCAAAAGAATTCTAAAATGATATTAAAATATAAGTTCAATTTTTATATCTTTGTGAAATAAAATGTTTTCATTTTATTCATCTCCAAAATATTCGTCCATTTATAAATTACAATTTTATTTAGATCTGCTATATTCATGTATATGTAACATTTGTCATCTAATTAATACATGTGATTTAGATTCGATCACGTGTCAAGTTAACTGTTTGTCGTACAATCACCGCAATTTTCAATAATCATCAGTAATTAAGTAGCAGATGCTCATTAATATGAATGGTTTCAGTGGTTGGATGCATTGTTATAACGAACTTTCTATGGCATCCGTTCGCTCGCGGATTCTTCTGTGGCGATGAAAGTCTTATGTTTCCATACAAGAAAGACACTGTATCCAGCAGCATGCTGAGATTAGTCGGCCTTGGATTGCCTATGTTAACAGTAAGTAACTTGAATAAATCATCTTATATCTTACTAATATTGTGAACGCGAAAGTTTGTGAGTAGGGATGGATGTTTGTTACTCTTTCACACAAAAACTACTGAACGAATTTTGATAAAATTGCACAATACAACAACTTATACCTCAGAAAAACATATAAGCTATAATATAAAAAGATATTATGTAAATAGGGCAAAATATAATGATAAATATTTAATAAGGGTGATGCAAAGACGAAGTTGCACGGGTGAACTAGTTATCAGTACATATACATATAAATTTAAAAAGTTTGTCGTGCTAAAATATGAAACAATAGCGGAATTTAAAAAAATACATTTAGAATAGAATGGAGCATTTCTTGAGGAATACTATAGATTATTAACTATCACGCTATGGCCCTTAGGAATTGAGAAAAAGGAAAACAGACTCTAATGACTCTAAGCGAAAAAAAAGTAACGATGGTGGGATGGTATTAACGGTGAGAGAGTGGTATGATGCGATGAAATGTGTCGATGTCCGAGGAATGTCGTCATTTTTTTAAATGAAACTCCGGGCGAACCGAATTACAGGAACCACACTACACCTTTTTAGTCAAAATGCCATAAATTAGAAAAACAAAATATTTATTTGCACTCGAAACAACTTTTTAAGTGGCGATAGATTTTATCATAAGAGTATAATAAATCTATATTTATAAAGATATTCTGATATATATTATTGAGAGGCCTACTAAAGGCATAAGGGTAATCCAAAATGTCCATATTATAATAAATATGTATCTGGCAATGATTATATTTTTTATATATTTAATAAATCCCATCCTTTTGCGATAGCGAAAATATAATGAAAATCCTGTTAGTGGCGACGAATGTTTATTAATTTTTATTTATACGATTTTACTGCACCAGATACAGAAAATAATAAAACTAATAAATATACATCAATTGATACAAAAGGCGGTCTAAAAGATTATAAACTTTGGGTAGTAGTAAACATAAAAAAATAGTACTAGCATAAAATAACTATTACAATAGTCATATTATAATATTTATTCTATAGGAATTGGATTCTGAATAAATTCTTCCCTTAGTAAATAATAATTATTAAATAAATTATTATATTACACTACAAATTCAGCTTATGCATTCTAAATATTAATTATATTTTTAGATGATGATCTGCGAGTTTGTTCTACTAAGGAAGGAACAGGATGATGTGGTATGTTTCGGAATTCGCATCCCCGCCTGGATCAGAGGAATATATTGCGCGCTAGCATCGTTTGGATTGGGTGTTTGTTTCGTCGAACTGACCGCCAATATTGCTAAGAATACTATTGGAAGACCACGTCCTCATTTCTTTGATGTAAGTTCATAGCCTATAAAGTCTCTATAGAGAGACGAACTTCTTAGCATTCCATGGATTCATCGTGAACGTACCGGGTCCATCGTGTAGTAGAGAGGGAAATTTCCAGCAGTTCACGGGATTTCTGAGGCAGGTTTAGTTTTAAGGGGGCCCTTTGCCAACGTACGTCAATGCTTACTTTCACTGCTCTAATATTTCAGTAGTATCTATATGTTAACGTAATTCTACTCCAAAGAGAGTAAAAGTAATCTTCGTATGGATCCTAGTCTCAACTGTTACAGCCGTCGTGAACTTGCTTTGTGGTCGAATAACGCAAGCAAGCAAACCAAATGTAGGTAAAAAATGGCAGTAGTTTCGCATACACTTGATTCCAATATACTTTCAAGTGTTATTACAGAAATAGAAAAAACCTTTCTATTTATTTTTATTTCTATGGCTAATATTTCCTTTTCAATACTCGAACAATACCGGACATAAATAATGGAAATCCTCTGCTCTATGCGTCATACACACCTAATACTCAACATAATATTAATCATATCAATTACTTACATAGCAACAAAGATAACGTACAAGGATGTATATTATATATTTTTTGTTTTTTAATAATTTACTGTTGTCACTTAAAAACAATCTTCCGTAAACGATTTAGGAATAAACTACAGTTATCCACTAGATAAGATAAAATTTACTTATCAAAACAGTTTTTAATAATAAGAATGTCTTAAAAGTGACCCAACAAAGGCTGCTGATATACAGTCGGTTGGTAGTCAGGTTGCTCTACGTTTACGATTCTGTGACTCCAATTAGTGCACTTGGTTGCTACGCCGCCCATCTCTAAAGGGTCGTGTACTTATGCCAGGTCAGGAAATAAGGCCGTTGGTATACAATCGATCAGTTCCCAAAAGCGTCTACAATTTTGATAGACTACGATTGGCGTATTATATTATGCAGTAGGATTGCATTTTTGTGGATTTGTTTGTATTTAATGGACTAACTAAAAAAAACGAATACATAACCAAAAGATGCGGAGATGCGAAAGAGGATGGGCACATGATGACGCATAGTTCATATATATAATAAACTAAAACAAACAATTTACACAGCCCCTTCTAGTCCCATACTAAGCTGAAGTGTTATGAGTATTACACAACGGATGTATATATACTCGTATATATTTTTGTTTGTAACTTTATACTTGATAGATAGATAAAATATACATAGAAAATACTCAGACCGTTACAAACAATCATACTCATGAATATAAATATTTGTATCGTGTAAAGAATCGAACCCGGGACCATTAAAAAAATGTTGGTGGGCTATATATCGCTAGACTATCAAGACGGTACATTGATTTTAGCTTCATTTTTAGCGAGTAACATGGTGTATTCCACTCAGTCAGCTCCGCGGGTTTAAATACAGCTATTACTTAACATTCGAATTCATCAGGTATGTCAACCGTCGATAGACTGCAACTCAGCAGAATGGCGGAACCGGTACATCCAGTCTCATGAGTACCACTGCACTGGTAACAAGACAGAGCTGTTCAAGGACATGAGGATGTCATTCCTGAGTGGTCACTCCTCGTGGGCCGCTTACACTATGGTGTACTTAGCGGTAAGCAACTGATATATACTAGCTGACCGGCGCAACTTCGTCTGCTGTGTGGTGCAGTGCTTGACATTTATCATTATTCTTCGTCCAATTTACATAATATCTTTTTAAATTATAGCCTATGTGTTATTATAATGTATAAGCTATTGCTGTAAAGTTTCATCAAAATCCGTTTAATAGTTTTTGCGTGAAAAAACAAAATCCATCCAACCATACTTACAAACTTTTCCGTTTATAATAATAGTAAAATAAATAAGTTTCTTTAAAAATTCTTTAAAAAAGTTATGAAATAATTTTAATTATAATATCTAATAATAACCAAGGATAATTCACACAGCGCCAGCTAGTCCCAAGCCAAGCAGAGGTCGTACTATGGATACTAGACAGCTGATATTAATACATTAATTTTGTAAATAAATTCAGATAACTTGAAAACTTCCTCTATTTTCAAGATTGCTGAAACCCTCCTATTAACATTACTAGGAAATTTAGGAAATTTACGAATATCGTATTTCACAGCTATATTTAGAAAACCGCATGGTCTGGAGTGGAACTCGGGTGTTGCGTCATACTCTTCAGTTCTCCGCCATCATGCTGAGCTGGTTCACCGCTCTGTCCAGGGTCTCTGATTACAAGCACCACTGGAGCGACGTACTGGCTGGCTACTTCATGGGTCTATCTGCTGCCATCATAATGGTAATTAAGAAAATTGCTAGCTAACTCAGCAAACTTGACGGCCTCGGTGGTCTGTCAGGCAGGAGTTGGCCTTCAGCCACACCCCTTCTGCGGATTTAGATTGCCATCTGCATTTACCCCCAATCATACATTAAAGCTGAAAAGGCCAGCTGTGGCCAACAGCATTGTAATGCAACATTATTCCATTGGTTAAGCAGTTAAGCACATCGCCTTACCTCCGATGGTCGCGGGTTCGATTCTTCACACGGTATAAACATTTGTGTTCATGAGTATGAATGTAGGTATTTTTTACGTGTGTGTAGCGACGAGGTTGATTGATTCTTACCCATTAAAATAGTACACTGTGTACGTATCTACGAGCATACAGTATCTAGTTTACAGTTTTTTAATGAATGATATTGGAATGGTGCATTCGCCTGTTGGTTACGCTAGCGGGGCACCAGGGGAGGACGACAGGATGAGCTGAAACTGAGGTCAGGTCAGTTAGACTATCGTAACAAATTCACCAGAAATTTATCAGGATGGTTTACAGAGAGAACCTCTTGGAGATCAATCTGACATAGCACATAGCTAGCAATGGGGTAATCGGTCCACATCACTAACAATCTTCTTTCCCCCCAGTTCACCGATATTTGCACACGTGTTTTTGATAAATATAGAAATTTTGTCATGGTCACTCACACTATCAAATGAGTCAGAACGTGTCGCTGAACTCGTGTTTATCTCAGAAATAAACATACAAACGATTGATATAATATACAGACGTTAATTAGTTGTCATAAAACCACGCGTCTGCAATGCAGTATCTGTGTGATCGTATTGTACCTTGATATCTTTTACACTTTGCAGACAAGCAGTAGATAAAAGATACTATGTATGATTAATAATAATGTATACAATTGTGGAATAAATTAATTTAAACTAATTTTAATTGCGAAACCATACCTAATATATTATTACACAATAATATATTGTCTTTATGTAACTGAATTGGCAGCTATAGTTTATTTTAATAATAATATTTAATTGTAACATTTGTTCCTTTGATGGTAAGTCACAACTATGTGACAATCTTACCTGTGGTCACAACAGTCGTTTATCGAGAGCAACAGAATTACTGAATAGTAATAAACCTGGTGTAACATACACCATAATATATATAGGTAACCTAACATAGTGTATTAAGGGTACTAGACAACTGATATAACTACTTAATTGTTTTTTAAATACATAATATACATATAAAACATCCAAACCAATGTAAACACTCATACTCTTGAATACAAGTGTTTGTATAGTGTGTGAAATTTAACCCTCAACCATTAGAAATTAAAACAGTACATAAACGATATTCAACAGTCTCTTACTGGTACGAGTGACTTTTTTAACTTACGACTAAAGTGGCAATCAATGGTATCATATAGCCCAATTGTCGCTAAACTGTTACGGTAGCCTATGAACGCCTAAAACACCAGGGTAGTCACGTGCGCGTTGCTGACCCTTAAGAAACTTAATATACCCTTCTTGTAAAACCCTATAAATGTATGACTAAGTTTCTCACTAATATTCATATTAATTACTTTACTTCTGTCTTTTTCAGTGGAGTTGGGGAACCGATCTAATCCAGAAAAAGAAGCATCATAAATCACTACCGCAACATGACATTACGCTAAATATACAAAATAACGACATTCTATAATACCAAATGACAGTATTATAATAGTTATGCTATTATAATACTTACCTATTTCATGTACCTAAGTTACTTTAAATTCATAGTTATAAGTATTTTAATTGTGTTAGGTGTTATTACAATAAAAAATAAGTTAATTATATTCTCAATACAAGTGTAGTAAGTAATACTGTGAGTTCTTAGTTACGAAAGTAAACTATTTAAAACTTAGTTATAAAATAAATTACTATGAAAATAGTTATTAACTTACTTGTTATGAAAACTAAAGTACTGCTTGTTAAATTAAAGATGTAAATAAACTAATAAAATTTTAAAGATAAATAAAGAGAAAATAAATGACCTGAAACTTAGTTAAAAAACAAGTTCATAAAACTCACTAACTTGTTATGAAAACTAAAATACTATCATGTTAAATAGTGTCTTTACGTTAACAAACTAATAAAAAATGAAATATAAGTAATAAAGAGATAGTTTATTATCATTTTTATTTGTAAGAACTCACAAGATGGCGAAAACTCAGCACTATTTTCATTGTATTATTAAAAAAAAAAAACTAGTCGATGACAACATGTTGTATCAATATGTTTAAGTTAGATTTAAGATATTAATACATTTATTAGATGAAATATTGTTTTCTTATAATCACAACGCCTGAAATTAAACTTTAAGCAAAGTTACTTTCAAAACGCTTTGTTATTATGAAAAAAATTATTTAAATTAAATAAGAATAAAGTCCTTAATATCTTCAACAGTAAAGTTATATAAACATAAAATATTTTTTTCATTAACGTTTCGTTTTATATATTAGCAGATTACCCAATATCTTTATAATTACATAGTATAAAATAGATGATAGATCCGTCCCTATGTATGTTTAATTCTTTAAAACTACGCAACGAATTATGATTCGATTTTCTTAAAAGATAGAATAATTCTAGAGGAACTTTTATATGTACATCTACCCCCGGGCGAAGCCGGGGCGAGTAGCTAGTATTGTATAAAATGAACTCGATTCCGCTTTCTGTTCCCTTAGATCTTTTAAACTACGCAATGGATTTTGATGTAATTTTTAGCAATAGATAGAATGATTCAAGAAGAAGGTTTATGTGTACAATACAAGTACACCCGTGTGAAGCCGGGGCCGACAGCTAGTACATATTACACATTCAAATCACACAAATTCAAATCACAGTTTATTTTCATGCTCAGGCATTATACGTGGAGTAATAGTCTAGTACTCTATAAAATTAAAAATTTACTGTATGTTAATATTTGTTATATTTATAATACGTAGAGATAATTTCTACCAAGTCGCTTCTTCTATTCTGTTATTTCTGGTTACCACATACATTTATATCAATATTATCATTTCTACCACATGCCACATATCTTTCATCCGTCCCCTTTACAACCAAACATTCAGATCGCAGTTAGGTATAAACCTAGTTATAAAACTATTTAATATTTTTTTTATCTAGTAAGCAGTCCTAAAAACTGGTAGTAGGTCCTTACAAATGTCAAAAATATTCTACTCTAAAGCATATATAACTTCTACATTTTATTAAAATAAACAAATATAAATTCAGCTCATTTCAAACGCCTTACGAGTAAATAAGAGCAAAGTATTGTACCCGCATTTTATATTTGTCTGTATTTTTATTTAATTTTAAGTTATATATAGTCCGAAACTAAGTACAACTTACATTATGTATACATATATATACACTATAAATGCCCAGACTTATAAAAACAATCCTATTCAAGAATACAAATATTTGTTATGTGCAAGGAATCGAACACGCAATCATCGGCAGACGGCCATATGCTAAACCGCTGCACTACGAACACCGACAAGAAATATCAAAGCGGCGTTTAACAATTATGCCAGGAAACCTACTTACTAATACAAACAGACAAATACTCTTAATAATAACTAAATCTAAGAGACTAAACATAATAGTGCTGACTAAGTAGAAATCATGACTGTTTTTTTTATATGAAAAAACATGTCCATTCATCACAACAGAGCGGAAATATCTGATGGCATTACATCACAAAATAAAATCAATACTCAAACATTACAGCACCACATTTTACATTAGGTTATTTAAACATCCGGCCTCCTTTTATATTATATGGAGGGACTCATATATAACTTTACATACATATTATCCTGAGTTATTGCAATTATTTTAAGGAATTTGCCTTAGGGTAGTTTAATTTTTGCTTGTATGGCAACACTGTCGATTTTAGATAGGTATATTTGATTCTTGTAGGTGGCAATAAAATAATGGTATAGTGTTAAAGTGGTGACGTTATTCTTCTCTTCACATCGTGAGATTTAGAGTCCAGTATTAATTCCTAGCCCTATATTGTTTGTGAGTCTGTTACCTTTCTCTTACCTCACGACTATATGGTTATTTAACCTAAATTACCTTAAATTAGAGATATTTATCTCTAATTTAAATATAGAATATAGCGTGAAGATAAATTAGATCACGTGGACGACCGTAGACAAAGCTTTATCACACTAATATTAAAAGGCAAAAGTTTATGAGTATGGATGGCTAGATGGTTGGCTTTTATGAAACAATAAAGCTATTCATTAGACTATGATATAGGCTATAATGTAAAAAGATGTTATGTAAATTGACCGAATTATAATGATAAATGTCAAGTATGTGTAATACAATCAAAGTTACGCGGATCCTGATCCGCGGAAGTCTCAAATAAGGCAGACAAAGTCGTAGGAAATAGCTAGCTACTTATAGATACTGAAATCAAAGTTTATTTCTATATTATAGTCGTAGTCTACAACTTATAGTCAGTAAATTCCAGATCACGTTTTCTGTTTGTTGGTATTAATCTCAATTAAAAGTACGTTGAATTTTTCGCTATAGGATTATCTAGACAAATATTTATCCATTAGCATTAGTACTGACTATTATTATGATGTTTATGTGAGACTTAAAAGTAATAAATAATAAGAAATAAGTCGATTTATATAATAAAACAACCAGTCTACAATTTCACTGTTTGTAGTATAAAAGACATCAACGAGTCAACAACGAAGGACACTGATTTTTGAATACATTTATTCAATTTCACGGCCACGGAGGTCTAGCGGTTTAGCTTTACTTCCAATAATAGCAGGTTCGATTCATTCGATCTCGCATGATGCAAATATTTTATTCATGAGTATGATTGTTTGTATAGTTCGGGATGTTTTCACCAGGTGTTTCAGATTTTTTTATTAAAATCTAAGTATTAGTATCACAAGCTCTGCTTAGCAATACAATAATTTCCTTACTTAATAATTTTATAAATTTAAAGAAACTCTGCCTGTCTGTCCACCTGTATCACATTCATGTCAAAACTACTAAACCGATTGAAATGAAATTTGGTACACAGATTGTCTAGACCGTGAGAAAGGACATAGGCTACTTTTAAATGCGAAAAATGGGTTGTAAAGTGCTAAAAAGGGAGATGAAAGGTTGTAATTGTTAAAACTATCGTGATTAAATATAAATAAGACATACAAAGTTTTTAAAAATTTTACTCTTAAGGGGGTAAAATAAAATAGGGCATGAATTAAATAGGGTATTTTGGAAATTTGTAATTTTTGAAGCTAGAACGATGAAACTTTTTTCCTTATCTTTTTTGGATTAGATTATTAAATATTTTTTATTTATTTGGTCAAATTCCACGCGAATGAAGTCGCGGGCACAGTTAGTATTACCACAGTTAAGATAATATTACATATATAAAAATTATTCTTGGCAACATAAACCATGATCTCATGGCTTATCTTCTCTTTTATAGGATTTAGCAAACAACGGATTTATTTATACACCTGCTGACGTAATACCTAAATTCAGAATGTCACAGCTAGCGTGTGGTCAACGAACCTTAAAAACGGATTTCATCACAAAAATTCTCATGAAATCTATTTGTGGCGTGATAGAGTAATGCTCGTTTGAATATTGGGATGATGATGAAATGATCATTCGCCTACGTCAAGCCACCGTCGGCCTACTAAAATCGTTTAAAAAAGAATGTACCAGTTAAGTTTCTTGTCAGATTTCGATTGAAATAACTTGATTAATCCATACTTAATATTATAATTACGAAAGTTTCTGTCCGTCTATTTGTTATCTTTTGACGATGGATCTTAATAATAGAAGTGAATTTAGATAACTTACGCTACCTTTTATCAAAAAAGAGCAGACGAAGTCGCGGCTACTGACTGATATATATATTAGTTACATATTATTACGACACCCAAGAGATGCTGTTATTGGACTATTATATTATATATTTGAAAATGGTTTACTTATACATTTTCACGGATGAACGGATATAGAAATTTCACACAAAGATCCGAGTGTTGTGAACTCCTTGACAGATTTGATTTAAAAATAATAAGATTTAAAAAAATATACATCATATTCTTTTTACGTATTCTTTTTTATCTATTCTATTATACAATATCTCTGTCGTATCAGTCCCATTAAATTACCTAACTACGTATTTTTCTCACAAAACCCTCGGTTAAAATACGAAAAAAAAATACGAATACCTCTCACTCATCAGATACATCAGATACCTCCACGTCAGACAGATTGTATAATATCCATCCTGAATATGCTACTTACATATCAAGAAATTATTAGGAAGAATGTCAAATCAGTTTGTATACGAGTAAACAGCAGACGAAATCACGGGACGAGTAGTAAATAATAGTACATAGTAAAAACAAAAATAATTTAATAATTATTGTTTTTATTATTGCAGAGCCGACTCGATTTTGCACAATTACATTGCAAATCTCTGAATTTCTTTGCTTTTCTGTACTATATTATACACATAAAGTTTTCTATTGAATTACTTTATAAAGTACTGAAACCTACATTAAAATCCATTACATAATTTAATAGATGTAAGCCTACAGACAGCGGTGGCGACTTTAATTTAAACTATGCTTTAATAAAAACCAGTGCTGTACTAAGCATCGTATATACAAATATATATCGTAATACACATTATATAGATGAGATATATACCATACGAAAAGATTAGACCCTAAGAAAGGTAACCATAAGAAGTTTATGCTCTCTTTCGTATTTACATTAATTAATCTCTATAGTAGAGCTAGTCGAATTTCAATTCAAGTCAGAACTGTTTCAATTCTTCCTCTCCATTCTAACATACAAACTTCCACTATCATACAAACCATACAAGTAAACGATTACAAGGTGAAATGAAAGGTCACATATCCGTAAAAAGCCCAACAAGATAAAACTCATGGTTATAATGGGAAATTTGACTTTAATTCTAAAGTTATAAAGTTGATTGTGTCCAGGCGCTGTTGTGAGAAGATGTAATAATGGTAATACTTTCTCCAGTGGACGATTGCGTCTCGAGCGGACGATGTGCGGACTGGCCGCGCTACCTCGACCACCACCGAACTGGCAAAGATTATGAAACCAACGCCAGTTGTGCAAGTAGGTAGAATGTTTATATATTTATTAGATCAAATACCAAGACATTTACAATATTTTTTCACAAGTTATATTAATCAGATTAAAGAAAATGTTAGCGTTGTGTTGTATCAACATTTAAAGACAATGATCGTAGTAAGTATGTGAGCTCACACTTTATTAAGTTCAGTTGAACAATTGTCTTATGAGACTTCCATACAATTGGCATATTGATTGCTACTCTTCTTATTTAGTGCAGTCACCCGCGCTAACGCGCGGAAAGATTGACTGAATAGTATATCTCTTAAATTACTAATAAACGAATGAACCGGAATGCAGTTTATAAATCGAAATCATTCATAAACACTGTCTAGTCTAGTCTGGTGGTATAGATTGTCTTAACTATTTTTGATGGAGGTTGCTTGGTAAGAAGGACAATGATGATTCTAATACAAAAACCTTGGTGAGGAAATTAAAACTTCATTCGCCTTTTAAATTTCACTATGTACTTATAAATTTTTTGTCTTAAACGTATTTTAAGACTAAAATTTTGCACCTCGTCGTTTTCTCAATCGTATCAGAAGTCAACCAGGTAATTTTATAAGATTCGAATTTGTAATGACTGTAGAATGTATGAAAACGAACGATATAATAGTAAGGTTGATTTTACAAACCCTTTTTTCAGCATATGTCTCAGTGAAGCTGTATGAATGTATGTATAAAATGTTACCAATCTAGGTATTTACCGTTTTAAATTCTTTGTTAAAGTTGACGCGAGGCCGACCGTAAACAATCAGTCCTCGGCTGGCCCCCGCTCGCGTCGCGCGCCATAACACGCCCGTTATATGCGACGCCGTCACCTGACAGGTGTTCTGTGCTAAACATTCAAATTTCGAATGACATTCAAATATGAAAATGAAGGAACCATTCATGTACGATTTTTAAATTTTCAAAAGTGTACTAATGTACCGTTACGGGATTCCATTTCTTTTCCGTTAGCGCGTGTGGCAGTTGTATTGTGTACTGTGGGATCCGATGGAACGTTGATGTAAATGTTTAATACAGTTCACCATAGATTATATTACACGTAAAACACATATTTGGCTGTATGGCACACTTGAAACCAAATTGTAAGTTCAGTTGTTTCTATAGACACTTTCTTTTTTATCTTATATATATATATATATAGCTGTATGTCAATGTTGTCTTGGGCTGTTACATTTTAAGGTAACAGATAATGTTAAGCGTATTGGCCAATAACTCTATGTGCTAAGTACCAAGCGAGTAAGGACTGTTAACTCCAATAAAACGTTATCTATGTAGATACCTACGACCCGCATTTTCGTGACTAAAGAAAAATAAATTTGTAATTAAATATGCAAATGTGGCAATCAAGAAACGGCAATAAAATTGTTAATTATGAAACCTTTTACGTTAGGATTGCCATGCTTCTATCATCATCTATACTAATAATTTAAAGTACAAAAATGTCTGCCTGTCTGTCTATCTGTAGTTTTGTTTGTTTATTACCTTTTCACTAAACGGCTGACCGGATCTTAATGAAATTTGACGTTAAAGTAGATGGTATGTACGGGGATAAACATAACCAATTTTTTATTAGAAAAAGGAAGACGAGGTCGCGAGTGACTATTAGTTATAAATAAAGGCGAAAAACAAAACATTTGTTACAATACATAGGTTGTGTTACCAAAGTTTGTTAACCAATATATGGCGAGGTCGCAGGTTCGATTACCTCTGAACTGTTGCGAAGCACTTCTGTCATGAACACAGTTAAGTGAGAGTTAAAAAACCAATATCATTGCTAACTGTCGCTGTTAAATAACTATAACACCATAGTGAGTTACAGATGAGTGTGTTAAAGATTTACAATTGCCATAAAATCCTCAAATATATGGTTTATTTTTTTTATCAAGTAAAATTCAGCAATATATATACAGAATTTACAATTGTTTCTTAAGAGTATAAGGTTATTGTTGATTTATATCTTATTAGTGATCTCAACTCATCTGCTTTTATGAGATAAAAAGCTGTCTGTCTGTCTTGTTACCATCTATCTTTGTATCAAATTTCATTAAAATTCTTTCAGTCATTTAATTGTAAAATGGTAACATACGGACAGACAGATAGATATACTTCGCATTAATATTAGTATTGATTTCGCATTCATTTGAGTACTTAATAATTTAGCAAAAATAACTTTCTATCTATAAATATTAAACCAGAATTTAATAAAGTAAAATAGATATCCTAAAATATTATCATTTACTAAATACCTAGGACGAGTAACAAAAACATATTTGACTAAGCAAATATAAGTAAGTATTACTTATGGTTTTAATTCAATATTTATTTGTTTCTAGTACTCAATTTCGGTATAAAAATATAAAGTCCTATATAACAGCACAATGCAAACTTTTCTTATTTATATATAACTAACTACTCGCCCCAGCCACGCACGGGTGTATGTATTATATATATAAACCTACCTCTTGAATCACTCTATCTATTTAAAAAAAACTGCTTCAAAATCCGTTGCTTGTTTTTAAAGATTTAAGCATACACAGGGCCGGACAGACAGCGACAGGGACTTTATTTTATTCTATGTAATTATATATACATATCATAATATATATATATATATACAAAAGCTTGCAATGTGCTGGGTTCGAACACGAGACCATTGGAAAGTAAGTCAGTGTGTTAAACCGCTAGATAATCGACTATTTCAAATGTAGATCCATATAAAATACATATAACGATGTATTTATCAATTAAAGTAATAATTATAATATGTTATATCCCATAGGGTCAGTATAATTATAATAAGTATTCTTTATATTAAATATAAAGTAATATATGTACAAAACTGTAAATTAATCTCATTGTAGGTTAGACAACTTTTATGTTAAATCGATTATTTATCATATAAAATCCATTTTGAAATACATAATCTCATCAAAATCGTCAATTTCCGACTCTCTGGAATTGATTTATACACGTTCAAAAGTTACTCAATTTATATTATTGGATATATAAAAGTTAAATAAGTAACAAAATGTATAGAAAGCATAAAAATACATTAATAATACAATACCTGTAGGCTACCGTTGTGTTCTGAGAGCAATTTCTGCTGCGAACATTTTGCGAATATCCACCATATCACGTAGATGCAAAAAAAGACTAGAAATTGGTTAATCGAATAGCAGGCACGATTTATATTACAGAAGTTGTTTTTGCAAAGTTTATATTCAGTGTTAGTAAATTTGCGGTGGTGTTGCTAAGTTAGTGAGATCGCCATCGACAGGGAATTCATTCCCACACGCTGGAACCTAAGTGGTCTCGAACAGCGCGATTTCAAGGAGCCTCCTCCCGCGTACACTTAGTTTGTGGAATGCACTTCCTGATGAGGTTGAAATAAGGTTTTCTCACGAGACTACAGCATGGGGTTTTTCAAGAAGGGTGTATTAAGGTTTCTTAAGGGTCGGCAACGCGCACTTGACACCCCTGGGGTTTCAGGCGTCTATAGGCTACGGTAACCATTTACCATCAGATGGGCCGTATGCCTATTTGCCACCATAGTAGTATAAAAAAAAAATCTTACCTATTGTAAACTTAGACAAAACTTCATGTCGTATACATTAGTTTTTCGTAGCAAGTTCAAACTATTCAAGTTCAAACGCTTCAAACTAAGATAAACTTAGTTTAGTTTGAAGCTACATGAGTTTGACACACGCTTTTTATCAAACTCAAACTTCTGCAACTTCAAACTCATATAGTGTATAATTACAAACCACGAAAAAATAGTTTATATCATAATCTAAGAGTCACGCACTTGTCGGTGGAAATCTTGCCACTTCCCACGATTGTCCATCATCCTTTTAAACCTCTTTAAATGTTGATATGACACGACGACAATTTTGTCTTTAATTTACTTGGTATATATGCCTTGGTCTTCCTCTCTCCCTCATTCCTTGTATTTTTCCTTCAATAATATGTATAGTGAATAGAATAAATTTTATGAGAATTAGAGATGCTATGTCAGTCTTCAGCCGTTCCATTACATCCTATAGTGAATTTAGAGCGCCCTCTTCATTAATTCCCATTTTTGTCAGCTGTAAAGGCAAGCAGCGGCAAACAGAATGTGAGAAGAACGAAACAATGTGTGAGAAATAATTATCCACTTCGCTCTCAACGATACAGAATTTATTTTTAGTTATGAACGGTTATAAGCATAACATAATTTTAATAAAAATGATAAAAACCGCAATAGGAAATATGATAAATACATCCTACACGATAAATGTCATGGCTAAATAACTCTGAATAAAATGGATATTATAATATCAGCGAATCATAACTAAATCGATTTGATAAATTATGCCGTTTATAAAGAGGTAAAATTTGTGAGTTTTAATGTACGGTATAATCTCCGGTACCAATGATCCGATTTTGGAAATTCTTTTAGTGTTAGATAACCTATTTATCATGAAAGACTATAGGCTAAAATAGCATACTATAACCACAGATAACATAATATTACATACTATAACTATTAGGAGCGGAGCTATAATGAAATATGTTTCAAAAACGGGGATCATCTGAAATAGACAAAGTTGCGCGGGTCATTATTATGTCGGTGCAAAAAACATTAATACTACTAAAAAACTCATCTACAAGTTATATATTAATAATATAAAGGCGAGAGATTTGTTTTTTTGTATTTGTAATGTATAACTCAAAAACAACTTGACATATTTTAAAAGTTCTTATACTGTTTGAAATGTACATTATTCTGGACTGGAAAAGGTATAAACAAAGATGTAAGCATCCGGACAAAACAGGGGCGGGTCACTAGTTCACAATAAATGAGTAATTATACAATTTTTATTAAGTATACTATACTGTACTTAATAATATAACTTGCTTTTTAATAACATCAGATACTACGTATTCTTTATGCTATCTATACTAAATATATTATCCATACGTTTATACTAATATTATATATGCGAAAGATTGTTTGTCTGTCTGTTTATAACCTTTTCACGGCTAAACTGCTGAACTTATCTTAATGAAATTTTACTAAAAAATAAATTGCATCATGAGTACGAACATAGGTATTCATCTAAAGAAAGGTAAACAGTATCGCGCGTAATAACTAGTTACTCAATCATTTTTTATTATTTCATAACCAGACTCTATTTACTATGACTTGTAATAGCAAAATGTATTTAAGAAATGCACAGATTGTTATAGAATAAAAGGGTTTTGATTTAAATAGTTGTAGATCTTCATACAAGGTCATATGGGCTAACAGCATACCGAAACTTGTAGGTTTGCTCTCACCAGTAGGTACGATATGAGACAAGTACGGATTGTGCAACTGATAGGCATTCATTGACACATCTACTTCTATGAACCGGTTGGAGTTACGTAAAAATAACTATAAAATTTGAACGAAATACATATAAGATGGCCTCTGTAGTCTAACGGCATACCGCCTTACTTTCTATGATCGCCCGTTTGATTCCTCACACAATACAAACATTTGTATTCATAAATATTATTGTTTGTATTGATCTGGGTGTTTTCTATGTATATTGTTTGTATTTACAATTAAAATGTTAGTAGTTATTTCTATTAGTGTTATTTGTTTAGTACCCATAACACAAGCTCTACTTACCTTGAGACTAGATGGTGCTGTGTAATTTGTGCCAAAACATACACAGCCCTCACAAGTACACACAACTTTGTACTTCTTAAGAAATGTAACGTTTTTATATATAATGAAGTCCAAATAATAAACACTATATAGATATTTGGTTTAGAATGACATCTAGATAAAATTAATAACATATTTTTTAGTTGAAATAAATCATCATACATTTGTTTTTTGAACTAGGTCTAGTTCAAAAAACTCAAAAATCTTATTAGCCAAAAATTTTATATTTAAATTTCTTTAGAAGTTATTCCTAATACTATACTTTGTATACATCTAAATATATATAACTCAAAGGTGACTGACATAGTGATCTATCAACGCACAGCCTAAAGCACTTGACGGATCGGGCTGAAATTTGACATGCAGGTAGATGTTATAAGGAAGAAT